CAGATGAATATGCATTCTTTTCTGGTGCCCATGGAAATATACCATATAAATTATATCATATGTCATAAAACAACCTCAACAAATTGAAGCCATACTGTATGTCAACAAAAGAAATGACTATCATTGTTTTATTTTATTTTATTTTATTTTATGTTATGTTATGTTATTTTATGTTATTTTATGTTATGTTATGTTATGTTATGTTATTTTATGTTATTTTATGTTATGTTATGTTATGTTATGTTATTTTATGTTATTTTATGTTATTTTATTTTATTTTATTTTATTTTTTTGTACCAGGGATCAAACTCAGGTCCTTGTGCTTGCTCAGCAGGCAGCGAATGTCATTGTTTTAAATCACCAAAATCTCATTAATATTTTCAGTTTTGCCTTCTCTAGTCATTTTCATATGCAAACATTAATATAATTGTAATTACCGAGCAAGTATTAGGGTTTGGGGTTTTTTTTAATCCCTCTTACAAATATCTTCCTCATTTCTTTGGCCTTCATTTGTGTAGCATTTTCTGTTGAGTTTCAGTGCCTTACTTTGCTAAAACTCCCACTAAAACTTCTGTGGCAGATACTATCTTACTTGCAGCATTTTTCTTCCAGAAAGTAGGAGAGATATCTGGTGGGTGTGGCAGGACATTGGTGAGAGCTTCTTGAAGGTTTTGTTGAGTTCAGGTGTGGAAAATGGGCCACCTCCAGTGCTAAGCATTACTGGTTACCTTTGCTGAGTTCCCCACTTACCTCTGCTGACTTCTCATAGTTGTTAATTCCTCTCACTCTCTCTCTATTTCAGCCCCTTGAAGTTAAGGACCTTGTTTTTTTATTGCTGCTTTCTTTATAGCACTTAGTATAAAACTTAACCATAGGAATTTAGTTGTCCAAATTTAAGCAGTACACATATTATCTTGTTGTTTCTTTGGGGGGTGTTTGAGACAGGCTTTTGATATGTACTTCAGGCTGGCCTTGAACTCATTATGTAACCCAGGCTGGCCTCAAACTCAGGCAATCCTCCTTCCTCAGCCTCCTGAGTGCTGGGATTACAGGTGCGGGTCACCATGCCCGGCATATCTTGTTATTTTTCTTTTAACAATGCATAGAAGGGCTGGGGATTTAGCTCAGTGGCACCATGCCTGCTTATAAGTGCAAGGTCCTGAGTTCAATCCCTGGTACCAAAAAAAACAAAACAATACATAGAAAGTTTCTACTATTTATTTATACTCTCATCTATTGTGCTCACTTTGGCAGCACATATATTTATACTCTCATCCTATTTCAGAAAGGATGTAAGACAGATTACATAAGAATACAGTACAGAAGACTAATTTAAATGAAAAAGAAGTAGGGAAAACTGAATTAAAAAGAAAATGAAACTAGGCAGTGTAAGAAAGAGGCCAGTACTATGGTTCATACTTAGATTGCAGTGGGCCTGCATTGCTGAGAGGTGGGTGTGAGTCTCAGCTTTTTAGAATCAGGCAGAGATATGGATGGTCAGTTCTATAGTTTGCAGTGTGGTCATGGTTTGTATTAGCCTCTGGCTCAAAAGAGATAGAATCATACCTAGTATTTAAATCTGAGACAGCTTTTCCCCATGGCCCTCATGAAGAGAATGAAGACCAGCATCCATCTATGACTACACCATTGTTTTCATGCCTGAGTTTCCTCATAGGAATCCTCATGTAAAATACAATCACCAGCCAGGAGTGGTAGTGCGCCTGTAATCCCAAAACTCAAGAGGTCAAGGCAGGAGGATCACTGCTAGATTGAGGCCAGCCTAGATGACATAGTGAGAGCCTGTCTCAAAAAAAAACAATCTCAGAAAAAAAAAAAAAAAGTTGTCAAATTTATTTCAGAAAAGATTTTTGTGGTATGCTTTCTATATCCTTTTAAATTCTGTAAAATCTGTGGTAATGTCTCCTAGATCTTGATATTGTAATTTTCAGAATGTATAATTGATATTGTGTAATAGGAAGAAAAGGTCTAAAGGAGCAGGGGAAGTGGGAGGGGTAGGGGAAAGGAAAGAAGAGAACAGAAAAAATATGAGAAAAGGAAAAAAATGGAAACAAAGTCTTTGCAAATAGGAAAGGGTGGAGGGGTTGAAGGGAGGGCAGGGGAAGGGGAGAAAATAAGAACCAAGATACTCATGTAATGGTACAAGATCCCAATGATGAATGTAACTATTTTATACCTAAAATGTACCAATAGACTTAATGGGGAAAAGAAAAACAATCTCAGGGCCAGGGATTTAGGTCCTGGGTTCGATCCCCATACCACAAAAACAAAGAAATCTCTACTCAATGTATTTTAGTGTAAACATGTAGAAAAACAAAACTGTGTTCTGCAAACTTCCTCAGCCATCAGTGGTACTTAACATGTTTAAGAGCTGTGATTCTTCACTGGTGGTTAAAAATGACCGAATATCTGAGCGTGGTGATACATGCCTGTAATCCCAGTACTCAGCAGACTGAGACAAGAGGATAGCCTCAAGTTTGAGGCCAGCCTGAACTACATAGTGAGACCTTGTCTCAAAAGACATGATAGGGCAAAGGATGTCCCCCAGTGATAGAGCACTTTGCTAGCATGTGTTAGGCCCTGGGTTCAATCCCCAGTGCTGAAAAAAAACACCAGCCAGAATTGATTTGTTATGTTTTTTGTCATATTTGTTTACTTTGAAAGTATGAAGCAAAAACAGAATTGAAAGGAGAAATAAACCCACAATTACATTAGAGAGTTCAACATCCTTCTCTAAGCACCTCATAAAACTAGAAAGAAAATCAGCAAGATGGTAAAAGAAATTGAAAACAAAATCAACTCACAGAATCAGATTAGCATTTATAGAACACTTCAACACAGCTGAATATGCATTCTTTTCTGGTGCCCATGGAAATATACCATATAAATTATATCATATGTCATAAAACAACCTCAACAAATTGAAGCCATACAGAATGTGTTTTCCAACCCCAGTGGACCCAGATACTTTCAAACTAAACAAAGACACTGTACATAATTAATTCAAAGAAGTCTAAAGGGAAATTTTAAAATATACAAGGACCTAAATGAAAATATAACCTTCTCAAAATATGTGGAATACAGTTAAAGTAGTGCCATGAGGGTAATGTGTAGCATTAGTGCATACATTAGAAAATGAGAAAAACTTCAAATCAATAGTCTAAGCTCTTGTCTCAAGAACTCAGGAGCAAAATGAAACTAAAGCAAGGAGAAAGGAGTACATAGTAGAGAGAAAAGCAGAAATCAATGAAATTGAAATGAAAGACAGCAGTGAAAATTAATGAAACATAGCTGGTACTTTGGAAGATCAGTAAAATTGATAGCATCTAGCAAGACTGACAAAAATATATGACTATAAACCACAGGTATCAAAAGGAATGGAATACCACATACAACTCTACACATATAAATTTGATAGTTTGCACAAAATGATCAATTCTTCATAAAACACAAAGTACAAATAGATACATAACTGTAATTGCCCCACAACTTTTTGTGTGTGTCTATGCAGTGCTAAGGAGCAAACTCAGGCCCTTGTGTGTGGTAGCAAGCACTCTACCACTGAGCTGTATATCCCCAGCCGTGCCCAGTAACTATTAAGGAAATAGAATGTATGATTTTCAGTCTCTCAAAATGTCTGGGTGAGGTGGCACATGCCTGTAATCTCAGCACTCTGGGAAGCTAAAGCAGGAGGATCACAGTTTTGAGCCCAACCTGGGAACTTAGTGACTTAGTGAGATCCTGTCCAATATAAAAGATTTTTTCTTTTCTCTTTTTTTTTTCCAGGTACTAGGGATTGAACTCAGGACTTTGCACTTGTGAGGCAGGTGCGGTGCCACTGAGCTAAATCCCTGGCCCTTAATATAAAAGATTTTTTAAAAGGGTTGGGAATGCAGCTCAGTAGGAAGGCCCTGGGTTCAATTCCCAGTACCCCACCCCCCAGGTATATGTAATTTAGCGCACAGTTTCTGGAGGCTCAAGAGCATAGCACTTGCTCCTGCTCAACTCTGGTGCAGGCTTCACAATGGATGGCATGCGTCATAATAGCAGGAGTGTTTGCAAAAGAGAATTCATGGCAAGACAGGAAGCCAGAGACCACGGAGAGGATTGCTTTTATATGACAACTCACTGTCAGAGAACTAATTCACTCAGTGAGACTAGCATCGATTCCTTTAAAGGAGGCATTCCCATTGATCTAAACACCTTCCACTAGGCCCTGGATTGAACCTAGGACCTCACACATGTTCTGAGCTATATCCCTAGGCTCCCCAGGCTGGACTTAAACTTGTGACTTGTGATCCTCCTGCCTCTTGCCTCAGATATTTCTGTAATTCAAATGCCTGGGATTATAGGAGGCCATAGGCCCCACCTCTTTTTTTTTTTTCAATACTAGAAATTGAACCCAGGGTTCATGGATGCTGGGCAAGTGCTCTATCCCTGAGCTACACCCCAGCCTCCCTTTTCTTCCTTTCTTTCTTTTTATTTATTTTTTTCTTTTTTCTTTTTGAGACAGAGTCTCTTAAGTTGCCTACACTGGGCTTGAATTTGTAATCCTGTCTCAGCCTCCCAGAATACTGGGGTTACAGGTATGCGCCAAGACAACTAGATAAACTTCATTTTGTTTTGTTTTTGTTTTGTTTGAGACAGGGTCTCACTGTGTATCACAGGCTCACCTTGAATTCACCATGATCCTTCTGCCTCACCCTTCTGAGTGCTGGGATTACAGATGTGTGGCACCATGCCTGGCTGGATAAACCTCTTTTCTTTATATTTCCCCAACCTCTGTTTTATTTCTGTAATGAATGGAGCATGGACTAATATATTTACTATTACTCAGTAATAAAAGAATATATGAATGTAAATCTGACAAAAAGTGTATATGTCTTTTATGCCAAAAACTATAAAACATTGCTGAAAGTAATTTTTTTTTTTTGGTACTGGGGATCAAATTTGGGTCCTTCTGTTTGTAAGGCAGGCAGTGGAACCACTGAGCTAAATCCCCAGCCCTGAAAGTGATTTTTAAAAATCTAAAAGGAGAGACATACCGTGTTCATTGACTAAAAGATGTCATTTCACGTTAAATTGATATATAAGTTTAATGGAATTCCTATGACTATCCTAGCAAAGTTTTTATGTAGACAAAATTATTCTGAAATTTATAGTGAAAAGCAAAGGAACTAAAAGAGCTAAATAAATTTTCAAAAGAATTGTATAAGAAATCATTCTACCTACTCTCAAAGCTTACTACATAGTTACAGTAAACCTTGTGACACTGGCAAAATGACAGACACATATATCAGTGGAACAGAATTGAGACTCCAGAGACATCCACACAAATATGCCCTACTGATTTTTTTGTTTTGTTTTTGAAACAGTGCCTCGCTATGTAGTTCAGGCTGGCCCTGAACTCACTATGTAGCCCAGGCTGGCCTCAAAGTCATGGCAATCTTCCCAATTTAACCTCCTGAGTACTGGGACTTCAGGCATGTGCCCACCATGCCCGGCCAGCCCTACTGGTTTTTCACAAAGATGTGGATGCATTTAATTCATGGAGGAAAAGTAGGCCTTTGAACAAAGTGGTGCTGGAGCAATTGGATAGCTGCAGACAAAGGAATGACCCAAACCCCACACATACAAAAGTTCACCCTCAAAGAATTATAGACTTAAATATAAAATACAAAACTACAAAACTTGTGGAAAAACCCCCCAGAAAATCTTGGGTATCTAAGGCAAGAGAGAGAATGCTTAGACAGCAACAACATAGTCTGTAAGAGGAACTAATGAAAATTGATCTCCATCAAAACTTTGCTTACAAAAGACTCTGTTAGAAGGGTTAGAGGACAAGCTGTAGAGTGCAAGACATTTGGAAATCATATATCTGAAAAAGGACTGGAATCTACAATGAATTTGAAATTCATCAGTGAAAAAGAAAATCCAGTTAGAATACAGGCAAAAGATGTGAAGAGATTTCACTGAAGAAGATAAACAGATGACAAATACACTGGAAAGATGTTCCACCCTGTAAGCTGTTAGGGAAATACAATTAAAACTACACTGTCATTCCACACCTATAAAAAGTAGTGACAACACCAAACTCTGCTGAGGTTGTGGAGGAACTGGGTCGCTCATACACTGCTGGTGGAAATGTAAATGGATCAACTGCTCTGGAAAACAGTTTGGTAGTTTCTTTTAAAAACTGAACATACAGCCACCATATGACCCAGCAGTTGCACTCCTTCCTGGGCATGTATCCCAGAGAAACGAAGACTTCTTTTTATACTAAAGCCTGTACAGAGATGTTATAACAGCTTCAATCACTAGCCAGAGACTGAAAACAGCCTAGAAGCCCTTCTGTGGCTGAATAAACAAAATGTAATCCCTTAATATTGTGGAATGCGCCTTGTCAATAAAAAGGAAGTGATAGCTTGGATGAATCTCTGGAGAATTTTGCTTAGTGAATTAAGGTAATCAGTCCCCCAAAGCTACTTACTGTATGGTTCTGTTTGTATAACATTCTTGAAATGATAAAATTATACAAATGGAAAATAACTGTTGCCAGGGTTTAGGATGGAGTGTGAGTGGAGGTAAGTACGTGCAGCTACAAAAGGCCAATGTCAGTGGTCCTGGTGGTGATGGAAATGTGCTGGATTTTGACTTTTCCATGTTCCTGGTTGTGAGTTATATTCTGGTTTTTAAGATGTTACCACTAGGAGAAACCCCAGGGTCATGGAAGAGGAGGTATTTGCAAAATGAGGGTCAAAAGGTGGGATGCTTGTCATGTGCTTCCTCCTCTACTCCCAGTGCCCAGAAGGGCCTGGTTCAGCTCCACAGTCATACACATCTGCATGTGGGAGGCTTGGCAGAAGAAGAAGGGACTGGGGAACCAAGCCAGGCCTGAGTACATGGAACTGACATCTTGCAATCTGTGTGATGTCTTGCCTCTCTCCTGATTTCAGAGAAGCTGATGACCCCTGAGATGTTTTCAGAAATCCTCTGTGATGACTTGGATTTGAACCCACTGACATTTGTACCAGCCATTGCCTCTGCCATTAGACAGCAGATTGAGTCCTACCCCACAGACAGCATCCTGGAGGACCAGTCTGACCAGCGTGTTATCATCAAGGTAGGTGGCTCCTGGCCTTAACCTGGGGGAAGTGTCTTGCAGAGCACTGAGGGCACACTGAGGCCTTGGAAGAAGCCTATCTTTGGTTTCCATGCTGTGGAACAGAGCTTTTGGAAAGCCGTATTTCAGGCAGCAGAGGCTCTGCCCCCAGGAAAGGATGGGTCAGTCTCAGATTAAGGTGTCACATTCTAGACAGACTCGGAGATTGCTGCTGTAGTGCTGCTGGATGCTGGGCAAAGCCCAAATAGTGCAGTGGAGGTAAAGGTGGCTTGGTGGGCAGAGCACGGAAGCCTCCAGTAAGGTAGGCAGTACCACTGCAATTTTCTAGTAGGATGGGCAAGGCTAGGAGTATTTTAAGATTGAATATTCTGTTGCATTTATATAATACATTTTATTTGTCCATTCATCCATCAGTGGACACTTGACTTTTTTCTGCTTTTTTTTTAAGCTGTTGTAAATAATACTGCTATAAACATGGATTTGCCAATATGTTCCTGTTTTCCATTCTTTGAGATATATAGCCACAATTAAAATTCCTGGGTCATACAATAATTCTGTTTTTAATGTTTTAAGTAGCCACCAAACTTCTTCACAGCAACAGTGCACAAGATTCTAGTTTCTCCCCATATTCACCATACTTGTTATTTTCCTTTTTTTTTTTTCCAGGACTGGAGATTGAACTCAGGGTCTTCACACTGAGCCACATCCCTAGCCCCATTTTTTATTTTTTGTTTTGAGACTAGTCTCATTAAATTGCTAAGTTGCCCAGGCTGGGCTGGAACTTGAGATGGTCCTGCCTCAGCCTCCCAGAGTGCTAAGATTAGAGGCAAGGGCCTGGCTCTTCTGTTTTTTGTTTTTATTAACAGACATTCTAGTGGGTGTGAAGTTGGATCTTACTGTGCTTTTGATTTTCATTCCTCTGGGCCGGGGATTTAGCTCAGTGGTTCTGCCTACCTCGAAAGCTCAAGGTCCTGAGTTCTATCCCTGGTACCAAGAAAAAAAAAAAAAAGATTTTCATTCCTCTAATGATTAGTGATACTGACTATCTTTTCATATGCTTATTGGCTATTTGTATATCCTTGGAGAAATGTCTGTTCAAATCTTCTGCCTATTTTTGAATTGGGTTTTTGGTTTTATTGTTGAGTTTTACAAGTTTTCTAAGTATCAGTCCTTTATCAGTTGTGTAATTTGCAAATATTTTCTTTCATTCTGTGGGTTTCAGTTTTGTTAGTGTCCCTTAATGCTCAAAAGTGTTTTGTCCGTGTTTCCCCACCACCACTACATGGAATCGAACTCAGGGACTTATGGTTGCTAGGCAGGTGTGGCACCACTGAACTGCATCCCTGGCCCTCAAAAGTTAATTTAATGTCCTACAAAGACAGTTTCTGTTTTAAAAGTCAAGCAGCATCATCAACACCGTTCTACCGTTTATATTGACCCTGCCACACTGAAAATGTTCTGGACTTTATATCAAATCAACCCTAGGGTCTTTTTTTACAGGGCTGTGTAAACAGTATAAGAACATCTGTGTGACTTAACACAGCTTACAAGTCTATGGAGACAATCACGTAATCTGGCTAAGAATATAGACTTCTACAGCTTTTGTTGGGTGGGTCAGGTTCCATTCCTGAGAAAAAAGATGACCACAATGTCTAATCTGGCATTTGTCATAGAAGTAATATTTGACCTTCTGCCATTTCTGAGCTAACTTAGCTCAGAACATGGAGGTAAAAGCACTGATTATGAGTTTTCAATATACATGTCATAATATGAGGAACAGATTTATAATTTATTAATTCTGTAGTATTTAAGTTGTTCATGGACGTGAAAAGAATATAAACTATGTCTATAAAGAAAAAAAAAAGTTGTGTTTTTGTTTTTGTTTTTCCAGTGTGAGGGACTGAATAGAGAGCCTCATGTGTACTAGGCAAGTGCTCTACCACTGAGCTCCAGCCCCTACCTAGAAGTTTTATTTTGATGGCATCTAATGTTTCTTTTTCGTGTGTTGCTTGTACTTTTGGTGTCATATTCAAAAAGCACTTCCAAATCCAATGTCATGAAGATTTTCCCCTGTTTTTTGCCAAAAGTTTTATAGTATTAGATCTTAAGTTTAGGTTTTTCATCTGATTTGTTGTTTTTGTTTGTTTATGACAGTGCTGGAGATTGATCAGGGCTTTGTGCCTGCTGGGTATGTGCAATACCACTGAGCTACATCTCCAGCCCCTGGCCATGTTTTGAGACAATTTTTGTAAATGGTATTAGCTAAGAGTCCAATTTCATTCTTTTGTGTATATATAATGAGTTTTCCCAGCATCATTTATTGAAAATACTGTCCCTTTTCCCAGAGAATGTTCTTGGCACACTGTCAAACGTTTTTTGACCATGTATGTGAAGGTTTATTTCTGGACTGTCTGTTCTGTTCTCAGATGTCTCTCTGTCTTTATCTCAGAAACATATTGACTTGAGTATTGTAGCTTTGTAGTAAATTTTGAAATTAGGAATTGTGAGTTTTCTAGTATCATTCTTTTTCAATATTGGTTTGGCTGTTCATTGGCATTTAGATGCCATATGAATTTTTAAAAATTTTTATATTTGTTAGTATATGTGCAGTACAGAGTGATTATATTCATCACAGGGAATTGATACATATATGAAAGGATCATGGTGCAGGTGAGGAACTGAAGGTCACACTGAAGGGTCCCTCCTTGTCTGGGACTCAGAAGAGTTGGGTATTTCTGTGAGGACATTTTTCTTTGTCTTTTCTGGGTACACAGTGGCTAGAGAACAGGAATCTTTGCAGCAGTGCCACCCCAAGAGCGTCTTTTTCAGATATTCCTGGCAATACCATCACCAGAGCCCAGGCCTGGCTACTGCTACCAGGTTACCTGGCTGGGTTGGCTCTACAAGCTTCCAGGGGATTTGGAGTAGTAAATAGGCAGGGGCCAGAATAGCCTCATGGCTACTAGGGAGGTTCTGGCCCAGCTTACTGTATTCCAAGGGGTCCTCACTACCCACCAGTGCAGTGTCCCCTCTGCCCAGAAGTGGAAGCTGCCCACCTCCCTCTGTGAAAGCCAAGCCCTTGTGGGCCCTCAGGCCTTTGCATTGCTGTGTCCCCTGTGTGGGAGCGGCTCCCCCAGGGAGTCACTTGCCTGCCGTCCTGGTTCATTCATTTCTTCCTAGGCCGCCTTCCTTGGGAGGCTTTCCTGGTCTTTGACTGCAGAGGCTGGCCTGGCTTCTGACCTTTCCTCACCCTTCTTTTTTATTAGTATATGTTTATGCTACATAATAAATACATTCATAGTAGGGAATTAGTACATATACATACCACATTTTGATCCTTTTTACTTTCCCTCCTCCCCTCCTATCTCCTCTCACTTCCAGATCCCCTTCCCATCTTCATATAATGTGTTTCCTGTTTTTCTTTTTGTTCCTCCCTCATTTCCCTCATAGCCTCACACTGAGGGCAGATGCACTGTATGTTCATTTTTGTATAGTGTCTTCTCTCTTTGACCCACCAGGATGGCTTTTTGAGGGCTTGTGTCCCTTGTGCCTCTCCTTGGGAGTCTGTACTTTTGAATAAATGAATGCATTAGTGACCAAATGGCAGGGTAGGTAGTATAGTTCACGAGGCAGGGGCAGGCGCCCTTGTGGGTGTAAACATTGTGCCCTGGGTCTGGTAGGATCCTGCTTGCTGTGTTTCCAGTGGTCACCTGCTGCTGCACATTTTCTGTGGGCCAGTGTCTGTGTGGTTTACTCTGTTTTTGCTTCACTAATTGTGGGTATGGAGGAAGCGTAGAAGCAGTGAAGGCCTGAGGGTTAGGGATGGTCTGCAGCCCAAACTGCTTAGCCCTGGGCCCGGTGGAGGATACTGCAGCTCTTACCTCAGCTTCCTTCCTCTGCTTGCCAGTATTGTCACAAGGATTTGTTCATTCCCAGAACAAATGCCCCAGAGCCCATGTTGGAGATTGCTGGTTCTCAGGGGATGACAGAAATGGAAAACAAGTTGGTGGATGACTAAGAAGGTCTCAGCAAGTTCTAAGTGCTGTGTAGAAACAGGAAAGAGGGTATGGAAAGGTCCTGGAGGGGAGTGGAGAACTTCTGAGCCAGCTTTTTAGTTGAGGTCAGAGTGCTGAGAATGGGCTGATTCTAGCCAAGCATGGTGGTGCACACCTGTAATCTTAATACTTTGGGAGGCCGAGGCAGGAAGACAGTAAGCTCAAGTCCAGCCTGGGCAACTTAACGAGACCCTGTCTCAAAAAATAAAATAAAGGTCTGGGGGTGTAGTTCTGTGCAAAGGCACTGGGTTCACCCCCCAGGGCCACAAAAGAAACAAAGAAAAAAGAAAGGCAGGCAGGCTGGTTCTCCCTAGGCAAAGGGAAGAACATTCCAGTGAGTAAAAAGTGGTGTGGATGGTTCAGAGGCACAGGGCTTCATGAATGTGATAAGAGACTGGGGTTCTCTTTTTTTCTCTGAAAAGAGGTAAAAATTTCCAGGTGGGCTTAGCCAGAGCTGGGCTCTTTGATCAGCGGCCAGTTCAACGTGCCTCTGCCCACTCTGGTCCTTGTCACAAAAACCAAGAGTGAGCCAGGGAGGGATGCTAGCCTGTAATCCCAGCTACCTGGGAGGCTGAGGCCAGGATGATCCCAAATTTGAGGCCAGACTAGACAACTTAGCAAGATCCTGTCTGAAAATAAAAATAAAAATTTTAAAATGGCAAGGGTATGTCCTATATCTGAGTGGAGAACACTTGCCTAATATGTATAAGGCCCTGTGTTCGATCCCTAATGCACCCTTCCACCAAAAAACAAGGGACAGTAGTGAATGAGCAGGTTCACTATGGCTTGTTCACCTAGCAGAGCACTGAGCAACTGTGAGGGAGGTCCCAGCCCCACACTGCAGTGGAGATCTTGGAGACATCGTGGTGAGGGAGCAAGCCAGACCCGCAGGTTCCAACTTGTGTCATTCAGTGCTGCCCAATTTCCGAACAGGCATAACTAATCCAAGGGTGAGGAGTTGCTAGAGCTGATATAGGTGGCAGCTTCTGGGCTGCAGGCTGTGTTCTTTCTGGATCTGGGTGCTGTCCACTTGTGAAAACTCCCCAGCTGCATGCCTAGGACCTGGGCCCCTTTGGCTGTGGAAAGATCTGTTAGAAGAGCCTGTCAGTGCTTCTGCTGCCCTCCCAGGGGTCCTGCCACCTTGCTGGATTGGCACAAGCTGCAGGTGCATCTGTGAACACACCTGGCAAGATGGCTTCAGAGAGGGCCAAGCTCTGTAAAGCAAAGAGGATGGCTTAAGGCAGGTTCTGGGACAGTGTCTCATGAGTGACACTTGGGCTGAACCATGCCTGGCCAACATAGTTACCTAAAAATTGACTGACATAGGATGACGGACAGAAGAGAGGGCAGTATTGAACACGAGGAACAAGGGCCATGGGAATAGAGGTGAGGTGAACTCAGGTGTCCCTGAGCCACGTCAGGGTTCCTTGCTGGTGACTGTGCTATACTCTCAGCCAGAGCCCCTTTCGGCAACCTGAGGGGTTTGTGGGGTCAGCTCTGATTTGCAATTGGGGAACTGGGAGGACAGAGGCCAGTCGCAGTTCTTCACTTGTGAGCTGCAGGCTGTTTTCACACCCCAGTGCCTTGTGGGCCAAGGATGGTCCTGTCTGCTCTCACCTGTGGCCTTGGCTCTTGTCGCAGTTGAACATCCACGTGGGAAACATCTCCCTGGTGGACCAGTTTGAGTGGGACATGTCGGAGAAGGAGAACTCACCAGAGAAGTTTGCCCTGAAGCTGTGCTCAGAGCTGGGGCTGGGCGGGGAGTTTGTCACCACCATCGCTTACAGTATCCGGGGACAACTGAGCTGGCACCAGAAGACCTACGCCTTCAGGTAGGATGGCGCATGCATCTGCTTTCCTCATTCTTCTACCAAACCACTTTGGGGAAAAGACCTCCTGGCACTCTGATGACTTGTGACCTTTTTTTTCCTTTAGTTTTTTTGACAGTCTTGCTAAGTAGTTCAGGCTGGCCTTAAACTCACTGTGATCCTCCTGCCTCGCCCTCCCGAGTGCTGGGATTACAGGCAGGTTTGCAACTTCACGGAGCTTCACAGTGACCTGGCCATGATCCAGTTGCCTCTCTGTTCCTCCTGCCTCATGTCTCAGCAGGGCACCTCATCACAGGCAGGGTTGGAGCCGAAGGGGTGGTGTATTGGAAGCACCTAGTGGCCTACCCGGTAAAGACGCAGTGCTCCGCTAGTGTGATCTGAGGTCCTTACCTCCACTGTGCCTACATCCCAGGTCCTCCTAGGGCCACCCCTGCAGCCCTCTGCCCCTCCATACTCCATCCTCTACACAGCAGCCCCTCCCCAGCCAGGGACGATGCTTAGTCCTCTCCCTGTACACTCTTGCCTAGACTGTTCCTTCTGTCTGGACCACCACTCCCCCCGGGTTTGTCATCTCCTAAGGTTCCTCCCCAGCTTGTGAGTACCAGGGAGCTCTCTGGCAGCTCTTTTGTGCTGGATGTCTCTGCTTTTATTCTGTCAGAGAACATTTAGTGAGTCTGTACGGGCCTGGAACCATAGTGGGTGCTGTGGAAGAGGAGGAGACAGAGAGAGGTCATCCTGATCCCTGCCTGCAGCATCAGGCTGGCTGAGTTTCAGTTCCACTCCCACTTCACTCTCCCCAAAAGAGGAACCTTAGCCCAGTGGCCTGTGTACTAGGGGAATCTGAAAGAAATCTCATGTTATCCACCTCCTCAATCCTGCAGGAAAGGGAAGCCCTGTAGTTTCTGACCCTGGCTTCTGAGTACCTTTTCTGTTGGGATGGGGAGGGCGGTTACCGCCAGGTATCTATTGTATCACAACAGCATGTTAGGATTAATTGTGTCCTTCAGACTGTCATCGTCCACATTTGTGTTTGTCACTCAGGGAGGAAAACCTGATATGCTATAGGAAGAACAAGGACAAAGGTCTTTTTGCAAAGACATGACAATTCATGGAGCTTGTAGTACGTTTGTGTCTCAGCTTGTTTTCCCAGACAGTCTACGAGGCGGCTTTGTTACAGCTTTGTATAAATCTGAGCAAGAGAGAAGGAATGAGGCACACCCACAGGGTGCGAGGCCCCGGGCCCGGGAAACAGCTGAGCCCCCCAGCCCAAGCAACTGCTTTGCTGAGACAGCATATCGGTCACCTGCTCACTTCCTCAGGTAGCCCTGCTGACCAAGTGGTTGTGCCTCCCAGACCTCATGTCCAGCCCAGGCCTCTGCATTCCTGGGAAACTCTGGCTGTGGGTGCAGTCCTGGGGTTCACTTACCCTGCACAGTCCACAAACCTCACAGCCCAGGAGCCACCCTAGTGTGGCCTCTTCCCCAGAGTCGGCTTGCGTCCTCTGGGGTGGTGATGTTTTACACATCCTAGGAGTTACATCTACACTGGGAACCCCCACCCCAGACACCCATCGAGTTGGAAACCTCTTTCCAGACTCACAGGTGTAGATGGTAGGCCTGCTGCTCCAGTAGCCAGACACAGAGGTGTTGACCTTCACCTGGCAGTGTGGCAGCCTCCAAGACCAGGTCAGAGCTCTGGAGATAAAGCTTCGGAGGCCTCTTGGCAGGTCTTCTTGGCATCCTTTCCTTTGGTCACCAGTGTGCAGCACCTTCCCCCTTGAACCCCAGGTGACCAGAGCCATCAGTCTCGGCTCCTTGCTAAGCTCCTAGCTGTATGCAGTTCTCAGGGTGGCTCCAGAACAGGCCCCATATGGAGCCCTGGTGGTGGCAGGTCAGGACTCAGACAAATCCCTCCTTTGTCTTAGTGACTACTTACTGTATTCTGGCCCCTGTCCTACTGTCATCTCTAGTGCTGAGTGTGTAGGTTTCAAATCCTTGGGATTAAAGGTAGTGCCACCCTGCTAGAGACCTGGGCAAACACACATCCCCTCCACAGGGGGATGAAATACCTGGTAGGTATTTCAAGCACCTCTTTAGGCATCAGGGAAGGCTGCTTGTGTCTTCCCAGCCTGTCAGGCCTATTAAAGTCTACATAGGGCATAACCCATTCAGTGTTTCATGTCCCTTTCGGCATCTGCGTTGCTCCCCACAGTTGAAGAGGCCTGGCTGGACATGATGGGGACCTTTGGGTTAGAGGCTGGCACCTCCTAAATACCACAGTCTAGGGAGACAGAACTGTGACAAGAGACCAGGGACCTCTTAACTGTTCCCCTGGGAGACCATTGTCAGCCCTGCCCTGCTCTGCCCTGCAGGCCCTACCTTCAGGTTACTCCTTCTTTTTTTTTTTTTGGTACCAGGGATCAAACTCAGGACCTTGAGCTTGCGAGGCAGGTGCAGTGCCACTGAGCTAAATCCCCAGCCCTCCTGCCCTCAGTTCACTACTGAAGTTTTGAACACCAGCCTGGCCTGATGTCAGGTTTTGTTTGTTTTTGTAACAACCTTATTGAGATTACAGTTCGCAGGCAATAGGATTCACCCTTTTAATGTGCACAGTCAATGATGTTTAGTACATGCACATAAGCTGTGCAACCATCACCGTATCACTTTTAGAACATCCTAAAAGGAAGCATGACACCCCTTAGCATTTGTCCCCTTCACCCACAATTGTCCCAGCTCGAAACAAACACTGTTTTCTGTCAGTATTTACCAATTCTGGACATATAAAATAAGTGGAGTCTTGGCCAGGGGATTTAGCTCAGTGGTTGTGCCGCCTGCCTCAAAAGCACAAGGTCCTGAGTTTGATCCCCGGTACCAAAAAAAAAAAAATAAATGGAGTCTTATGCTACGTAATCTTTTATAATTGGCTAAGTTCTTAGCATAATGTTTCCAAGGATCATTCATGTTGTGGCATATCAAAACAACATTTGTTTTTATGGCTACATACTATTCCATTGCATGGATAGACCACATTTTATTTATTTTTTAATTAATTTTATCGGTACATTTTAGGTATACAATATGATGACATTCATCATTGGACATTTGTACCTTTACGTAATCTATCTTGGTTCTTTTTTTTTGTGGTTCTTATTTTTTTTTCCCTATTTCCCTGCCCTCCCTTCAACCCCTCCACCCCCCCACCCCCATTTACAAAGACTTCGTTTCCATTTTTTCATTTTCTCATACCACATTTTATTTATCAATTCATCAGTTGATTTGACTTTTGGGTTTTTTCTACTTTTTAGCTATTGAGAATAATGCTAGGGACATTTATGTGTAAGTCTTTTGTTTGACAATCTGTTTTTACTTCTCTTGGATATATACCTAATAGTGGAACTGCTGGATCATGTGGTAACTGTTTAGGGTTGTGAAAGATTGCCAGACTGTTTTCCAAAGCGGCTGCATTTTATATTTACCCAGCAGTATGAGTTTCTCTAAATCTTGGCCAGCACTTTTTATTATCTGTCTTTTTGATCATAGCCATCCTAATGGGTAATTCTAATTTGGAGTTCCATTTCCCTAATGACTAATGATGTGGGATTTTTTGTTTTCCTTTTTTTGCTGCTTTTTTTTTGTTGGCAGTACTGGTGATTAATCTTGGGGCTTTGTGCCTGCCAGCCATATGCCTTATCACTGAGCTATATGCTCAGCTCATTTTATTTTTTCTTTTGAGACAGGGTCTCTCTAACTTGTCTAGGTTGGCCTTGAATTTGCAGTCCTTTTGCCTCAGTCTCCTAAATAGCAGGGATTACAGGAGTGCGCCTCCTCACTGGTGCACTTTCTACACAGTGTCCTTTGCAACACAGACGTTTTTATTTTAATGTAGTCCAGTTTGGTTTTTAGTTTATTTCTGGTACTTTTGGTGTCATGCTTGATAGACCGTTTTTTAATTCAGGTTCAAGTTGTCTCAGAACTATGTTGAAAAGATTGGACTTTCCCCAATGAGTGGACTGGGCTTTCTTGTCTAAAATCAGTTGATCTTGGAGGCCTGGGAGGTGTTGATTGCAGACACAGGGTGATGTTGAATAGCCTTGGGCAGGTCATTATTAGAGTGGGGCTAATAATGCTTTTCAACTTGCCTATTAAATGAAGTCACAAAAGTGAGATCACATTGAAAATATACCTGAATCTACTACACAAGCATCAGTCCCACTGTGATATCAGGCAGGGCCTTCCTGCCTGGGTAGCTGACATTTCGGGAAAGTAGGAGTGACTGGGGTCTCTGACAGCCTCAAAGCCTATGAGTTACATTTCCTTCCAAGTGGGAGCACACTGGCCTCTATGGCCACCAGACTTCTTGGACTCTCAGGTCAGCGCCGTTCTGTCTACAGGTCCTCCCAAACCTGAGGCAGGCATGGGCTATGTTGGGTCCTGGCCTGTCCTTACATAGTTGGCTTGGCTTAAGCAGTTCTTATTTTAGAACAAAGCCATTGGAGTGGAATCTTCCCAGAGTCAGAGGGAGGTAAACAAAAGGGCCTCCAGTTCTGCTTGCTGGCTCCTGTTTAAACTCAGAGGAAAACATGTTTTGCTTCCTTCACGTGGGCTTGGGGTCTGTGGCTGGGCCATTCCTGGATTGCCAAACCAGGCTGCTGAGGAGTAGTCATCCCTAGGGGACCATGGGGGTGGGAGCTGTCAGGTCTTTGGCTTCTGAGTCACTAGCATAAGATTGGACTTTTGGGCCTCATGGGCCTTGTGAGTGTGGATGTGGTGGGCTGAGGTTCAGCAGCAGGAGGTCAGGCCTGCTTCCACCGGGAAGCCAGGGTAGCTCTGGTCTTTAGTGTCAGCCTCACCCAGTACCCTGTCCTTGATTAGGGCCCAGGTTCCTGAGACCCCAAGGCTGAGAAGAACAGGGCCCAGCCTGACTTTCTCAAGCCAGAAAGGGCCCTTAGTGCAGTGAGGCGCTGAGTGAGGCTCTGTTGTCCGACCTGGGGCAACACTTCTCTTCAGCCAGTCAGTCCCATAACCTTGAGGGAGGCTATGTGAAAAGTTATCTGGCTCCTAGGAAGTTTCCTCAATGGTTGGATGTTGGCTCCTTTGATAATAATAATCTAGCATGTGGGAGGCCCTGGGTTTGATCCTCAGCATCACAAAGAGATAAAGATTTTTTAAAAATGAAAATTCTCCAACCACCCCTGACAGAAATACATACTGTCCCCATATTCTAGGTGAAAACTCAGGAAGCCCAGCCAGGGACGAATCTTCTTTTACCCCATCAGTGTCTACCGTGTACCTCTTGGAGACCTTGTTTGCCCTTCCAGAGCTGAGGAGGTGCTACAGGGTGGCAGACTGCAAGTGGGCACATACTCACAGGGCACTGGTAGAACCAGGAGACCTTCTTCTGGGGACTGAGCCCCAGGAGCCTGCCCAGCTGGAGGAGAAAAGGACCATGGAAGGCTAGAGTGGTGACAGTGGGACAGAAGGTCAGGAGTATGGTTAGGGCCCTGTTCTGAGGCTGTCAGGCCAGGAGTATAGTGTATCCTATGGGACCCTCCTTAGCTTCCTGTTGGCAGACTTGGAAGTCATATTCCAGAGAGGCAGTGGCTCACATCCCTCCCTCCTCGCGTTCCTGTGTGCGCCCCCTATGCCCTCATAGCCTTTGCCTGTGCTGTCTCACTCCCACTGCTGTGTCCACGTGGCTAGAGGAGGTCCCAGATGGCTCCTTGGGGTGGACTTGGGTGGTCTCTGAGGGACCACAGTGGGGAGGGGAGTGTGATCCTCAGATATGGTTTCTGGATCTCTCTGCGTGCCAGCTATCTGGTCCTGAGCAAATAGGCCAACTTCTTTGCGGTTCAGTGGGAACCCCATGAAGTAGGCCGAGGAATCTTGGGATCTGTAGGGCAGATTCCCTCCCCCTCCCAATGCTGTTTCCTTAATCAGTAAGTCCTGAAGGACACTGAGTGGGGCAGAAAGGTCTCTGCCTTCCGGCTGTGACAACAGCCTGGCCCAGCCATATTGTTGTCAGGGAGAACCACCTCCATAACCAGCACTGACCCCTACCCCGCCCCTGGCTCAGTCTCCCAGACAGAGTGACGCTGAGGCGGCAGACAAAGGGCCTGTTGAGAGGTGCTTTGAAGGGAGGCCATGGGGTCATGGGCAGCAGTGTTGGTGCTGAGGGAGGTCCTGGAACCTCTGGCAGCTTCCTTGAGGTTCAGGTGACAGGAGTATCCAGCTAACCCTGTCCCTAAGGCTGCTGTGAAAGGCTGCAGCAGAGGCAAGGAGGAAATGGAGAAGGGCCTGGGCCTTTCCGCCATGCCCTGCCCATCTGCTGGGGTGGAGGGAGGAGCAGCAGCAGTTTCTGGGGACTTTACAGCTGCTTCTCTGTGAACTGGCCATTGCTCTCTCCCTGCCTCCCTTCACCAGTGAGAACCCCTTGCCCACGGTGGAGATTGCCATCCGGAACACAGGCGATGCTGACCAGTGGTGCCCACTGCTGGAGACTCTGACTGATGCTGAGATGGAGAAGAAGATCCGAGACCAGGACAGAAATACAAGGTACCCTGTCCCTGTGTCTGGGCTCTGCCCATAGGCACCCATCTTCCCAGGAAGGAGCAGGGCCATCTTTCTCCAGTGACTGTAGGCTGGGGGAAGAACCAGCATTGCCAAAGGCAGGCTGCTGGGTGATAAGGCCTTATCTGGCCTCCAGGGTGGGTTTCCCTACAGAGAAGAAGAACAGGTCTTCAGGTCATGTCTGACCACAGCCCAGAGCAGGTGTCAGGGCTGCTGGAGAGATGAGCAGGGCCTGCACAGCAGACAGACAGGGCTAAAAGAGGGCTGGGGGTGGCCCTGCTGGCCTGGGGGCTGGGGAGTACACCTGGCTGCTCTGGAGAGCCCTGCAGGAGGGCAGCTGCCCAGGGCTGGGTCTGGCCCCAGCTGACCGGCCTCCTCCTCCCTGTTCCTTCCTCCAGGCGGATGAGGCGTCTTGCCAACACTGCCCCAGCCTGGTGACCAGCCCACCAGTGCTCAGCTCTCATGGAGCATCTTGGAAGATTGGAGGACCCCTCTCCTTCCTCTTCTGGCAAGGAAAGAGGCAAGGGGACAGCTTAGTGCCATTCTGAGGAATGGGGGAGGGGTGGAGAGTACTGGGGACCTCCAGGTCACCCCCCCAACATACATTCCATTTGCTGAGCCCCAATCCTGTCCCCTCCTCTTAGCACCCTCCCCCGGTGTCTGGGGTCAGGAAAAAGCCTCATTTTGGGTTGTGTTTTGTTTTTGTATAGAAGCCCCAGGCAGGGCTAGATATACTTTTTAAATAAAAGGCAACAGGTCATGCTCAGTTTTTGGAGTGTGGTGGCATAAAAATAATGGGAAAGGCCAGTTATAAAACCCCAGCTATTCAGGAAATGGAAGCAGGAGAATCAAAAGTTCAAGGCCACCCTGGGCAACTTAGCAGGACCCTGCCCCAAAATAAAAAAATGAAGAGTTGGGGATGTAGCTCAGTGATACAGCGCCCCGAGTTTGTTCGCCAGAACTGGGCACGGAGTGTGTGGGGAGGTGTCAGGAGTGATCCTGAGCTAGGTCTGGCAGGGGTTGGTGGGGCCAAGGCTAGCATGCCAAGCCTCACCCCTCTCTGCCTCTACCCAGAAAGCTAGGTAGCAGTTAAGTGATTCCACTCTCAAGGAACCTAAGGGCCCCTGAGGCAGAGCCTGATCCTTGCTTTTCCTTGGGCCTTCCAGCTGGCCAGCTGGCCACCTGTCCTAACAAGTGCTTGCAGAGGAGAAAAGAAGTGGCTATGAGGCTCAGGGCAGGGACCTACCTGCCTTTCAGTGACAGCCTTTTCTGTCCCTTTCCTCAAGCATAGGAAAGACCTGTCAGCTCTTATCCTGTCCCTGGGATGTCTTGCTACATCTAGATAAGCGGCCTCCAGCCAGGGGCTTTGCTGCTCTGGAGTCCTTGGCAGGCAGAGCGCCTGATGCCATGTGGGCACTGCCTGGATGTCACTAGCCTGGATACAGGATGGCCTGTCCCAGCTCCAGCACCCCACACAAAACAGGTTGATGGCTTCCATCCCCACCTGTGGCCCAGGCCAGCTGCTACCTCCCAAGGCCTGTTGTGAGGAAAATGAAAACAGCCCTTTGCTGGCTTTTGGGGTTGACATAGGGTACAAAGAAGCAAGCCCCCAATCCCTTCCCAGTTAAGATTCTGATAAACCTGTTGACACCTGTGTCCTTGTTTGTAATATGGAAGTGTGTACTTTGAAGAATGGACTTAGGCTCCTTGAGGGTGGCACATGTGGGTCTCTTTGCTGAGTCAAGAACTACTTGGTAAACTGGGCACACAGCCCCTCTTCCTGAAGACAGTGGTTCCACACCCCCAGTACTAGCTGCTGCCACTCTTGGCTGCTGGCAGGGCTAAGGGTCAGAGACTGCTTCTTCCAGGAGCATGTGATGGGGCCCTATGCAACCTGGCTTCCAATTTAGCCCATGTGGGGCAGGGGTGGGGCTGAGTAGAGATTGGGGCTGTTGCCAGGGTACAGGCAGCCTGCCACTGTGAGCATGTCCAAGAACGTGACTGTCCCCAGGGAGTGTACTCTCAGGTCCCCTGCCTGTCAGAGTAGAACTCTTCAGAGGCCCACAGCAAATGGACAGCCAGGCTTTCTGGGAAGACCCTACGCAACAGGGAAGGTTCCAGGTCACTGGCTTTGGAAATGAACAGGCTCTGTTGCTAAGGGGTTTGCTTGATTCATGAAGCAGGCAGCAGCCCTGTGCTGCAGTTGGTAGGATGCTGCCCAGGTCCTGCCTGCTCCCGTGCCCTTTAAGTACTGCTAGCCCACACTGAAGCTGTTGCTTCACCAGATTTCACTACAAAATTGAGATCAGACTCACAGAACATTTTTGTTACCATAAAAAAATGATAAACTGGGGCTGGTGGAGCCCCTGTGCTGCTGAGCATCCAGGAAGAAGCCACAGTGTGGACAGGAAAGCTGGCCCCAAATAATACCCATGTTCGGGGGAGAAGAAGGAAGAAAAGGCTCACACACACAGGTCCTCCCAGAGGACTCTACCTTAGCCAGGCACAGAACTTGCTAAGGCAAAACTTCTCAAGGCTCTGGGGTTACAGAGGGTAGAGGGTCCGGTTCCAACTTTTCTCTGCCCTGACCTCATAGCTCCTCCAGGTCACCAGCTGGAAAATGAAGCAAAGGCCCACTTGTCAAGGTTGTTCATGAGGATGGGAGAGGCTGGGTGGGCATCAACCCAAAGGCACCACACGAAGGGGCAGCTCTAGAACCAGCTCAGTCCTAGTCCCAGCTGGTGAAATCTAACCAACCCCTTTGTTGAATGCTAGGAAATGAAGCCCAGGGTCAGTAGGACATGTCCCCCAAGGCACTGGCAGGACTGGTGCAAGAACTCTTTTTTTTTTTTTTTGGTACCGGGGATTGAACTTGGGTCCTTGCGCTTGCGAGGCAGGCGGCGGAACCACTGAGCTAAATCCCTGGCCCCATGGAGCAAGAACTCTTGAGCCTGTCATTTGTGAGGTCAGAACCCTGCTGGGCATCCATGGGCAGTTTCTTTGCCCTGTCTGGGCCCCCTGGCTTATCACCTACAATTGGGCTGAGAGGGCAGCCTGGGCAAGGCAAAGGGTAGATGTGGAAGGGCATGGAAGATGTGGTGCCCAAAACAGAACCAATGCTGTGGGCCCAGAGGCTTCAGGTGACTTGTTTATTTAGGTGGGTGCTTGCATGGGCCCAGCCTCCAGGACAGATTGGTCTGCTGTAAGCAGGAGAAGGGGGGAAGGGGAGCCTGCTGGGAGCTTTGGGTGCTGGTCCAGGGCAGGATCACTGCAGGGGTGCCAGATGGGGTCCTGGCTGCTCCTCAGGAAGGGGCAGGTAATTGGGGTCCTCCTCAGGACCATCCAATAGCAGCTTCCTGTCAGGAGGGACCCACACTGAGCTGAGGCCAGCACAGGTCCTCATGGATGGGAAGCCACCTGGTGGTGGTGGTGGGGTGTCATCTCCCACACTCACAGGAAGCCAGGGGTCAGCAGCAGCCTCTTGCCTCCGGGCTGGTTGGGGAAAACATCCTCTAGGAAGTAGTAGATGTGGCCCACAGCAATCCCTGTAAGACAGCAACACACTGCCACCCTGCACAGCCCAGAATAACCCCAGGGCTGGCCCTAAAGGACAGGCTGAAAGGGCCCAGAAGCAGGCAGGACTTGAGGAGGGAAGGCCCAGGAACACTGGGGAGCAGGAGCCATGGAGAAGAACCTGCCCAGTCCTTCACATCTCCACAGGACCCACTCAAGCATCCGCAGATCTGCTCCATTGATGCAGACCCTGTGCACTAGCTAGCTGGCTGTGTGAGAGGCTGTAAGAACACGCTTCGAAAAGAGGAAGAGGGGCTGGGGAGGCAGCTGAGAGGACTGGGCAGGTTGGAAAGGGGCCCTGGAGCATAAGCAGCCTGTCCTGAGGGAGGGACCAGTTGGAGTGGGCAGGCAGGCTCACCCAGCAGGTCGACGAGGATTGAGTTGCCCAACAGCAGGGAGAAGCCCAGGAGTACCCAGGGCAGGAATGGTGCCTGGAAGGTGAGGAGGCCAAAGAAGTTGACCCTCACCCGAGGGCTGCGGCGGCTCCACACATACACCAGCATGGCCATGAGGGCCTGACCCAGGAAGAACAGGCTGCCTAGGAGTCCCAGCAGCTGGGCAGGAGTCAAGGTGCCTTGGTGCAGGTCTCAGCCGAGCCCATGGCCTCTGACTTCCTGAGTCCCAGGCATCCTTCCAGTGGTCCCCCTTCCTTACTGTCTGGTCCATTCTCCATCCAGATGAGCCCTTCTGCACTTGGCCTTCAGGCCCTGTGCGATTTGGCTTGCAACCTACCCACTTCATTCCAGGCTCCAACCACTGCTGCTCCCTGTCCGTTTGTCCTGGTTATTGGTACTGAAGGCTCAGTGCCCCACCTATCCCACCTGGCTCTCCTGCACATTTCCCTCTTGTGTTTTGCGCACAGCACTGAAGATTTATCCTTGGCCCCTCGAGCTGAGCGCAGGATCGCTGCTCAATTCAGCCTAAGCCCTCATAACAGGCCTCGGGGACCCCCGATGCTGGACCCCAAGGAGCCACGGCCTGAGGTTCCTGAGCACGAGGGAAGGATACTGTCATAACGACGCCCCCGAAGAGAAACATAAAGACGAAGTCGGCTTTGCGTCCACGGAAGGAGCCCTCCTCCAGCATGCGGCAGTAGCGGAAGCTGCAGCGATGGTATAGGAAGTGGCAGCCAGGCGGGGCCTCAGTTTCCCCGCTTCCGGCCTCTCCCAGCCCAGCGGGCCCGCCCCCCAAGCCCCCGGGTCTGTGCTGCGCAGGATACACGAAGAGCATGTTGAAGAAGAAGCTGAATCCCAGGTGCCCGAAGAAGAGGAAGTTAGTAACCAGCCTCCAGATCTGCAGGGGTCGGGGGAGACGACAGGCGGTCAGGTGTGGGACTTGATGGTCCAGGCCACGGGGCGAGGGGTGAGGGGGCCTCACCTGGAACTTCCGGAACACGAGGTGTGGGTTGAAGTAGAGCTGGAAGGGGCTGAGGAGGTCCAGCTGCTGTGGAACCAGGGGGGCATCAGGGGCTATCGCACCCACGTTATAACCTTGGCGACCCTCCCTAATGCCTTGTACCCCACCAGGGGCTGTAAGCCCCGCCTGGCCAGCTCACCACGGCAGCTGTGGTGAGGACGCAGGCTGCGGTGTAGGCCCGCGTCACCGCCGGCACCTGCAGGAACTCGGCCGCCAGCCCCTGCCACGCCATTGAAACTACTTTGGCACGCTGGACCTGGCGGCTGCGCGAAGTTTAGCTAGTCTCCTTGCCGTCTCCAAGCCCCACCTCACTCTCTACTTTGGCCAATCAGCGTCCGAGGCGGGGAGCGCCCGGGCTATAGGGTGGGCCCCTGGTCTCAGTAGACCAATGGGAAGAGGAAGAGGGAATCGGGGGCGGGAAGGAAAAAAACAGGGGCGGGTTGCGACGGCTAGCCTATGGGCAAGCCCCACGAGTGAGCACGTGGCGGTTGTTGTGCCTGCGGTGACGGCGCGGGAGAACCTGTGTCCAATGAGGAACTAACCTTTGGAGAGGAGAACAAATACCAGGGACCCACGAGGCCACCACAGGGGTGGTACGACTACCGCGGTAGTGGGGGAAAGACCTGAGCCAGGTGCAGCGAGACCGGAAAAATGCAGGGCCGCAAGGGAGGGGAGGGGGTACAGGGGGCGGGGGGGAAGGAGGCGGGGCGGGACCCGGAGTCTGATTGCAGTCCGCCTCCTAGCGCGCTGACAATTTGGGCAAGGCCTTCTTCCTTC